ATACGTACGTTCGTGCACGCACGTCTGATTTATGCGTCTTACTATTGGAATTTATAGGTTCGCAATGAGCAAAGTTGCGAGAGGAATTGAGAAAACTGCGGGGATCCTCGGGGAAAAGTCCGAAAGTCGTAAACGAGGCGAAGGTCACTCGCGGTGCGGCGAACTTGGGTTCGGTTAATCCTAAATCGATCGGATGCTTAAATTCACCTTCGATTTACTGCAATTGCTAGCTTTTCATCTCGTTCAGTTCAGCAAGAAAAAAAAAAAAGAAATATGGTTGTTCGTTCTCGTTACTCACAATTGTAATCATCGGTCTTGCTTCTTATTCTACACGTGTAACGCACTTTCGCACGACGAAGAGGATCTCGTCTAAGCAAAGTCTGCGCCGAGACGCCGACTGCTCTGCAGAGAACGAGGGAAAATTCATGGGAATTGGATAAAGTCATAAGGTAGAATAAGGGTGGGATTGCTCTTGGTAGTGTCGAGTCCCCTAACGTAGGATCTTCCTGTCTACCCTTAAAGGCGCGGAAAGGACCTTAAGCTGTTTTCTTCCGCGCTACGTGTTACATTGCGCAGGAGTATACGCTATTTGTGTATACATACTCTACTATTTATGTGTACATAGGATACGTAAGGCTACTGTGCCTACTAAAATTTATGTTGCGCGCGGCAAATGGAAAAAGATCATTATTTTATTTTTATACAATATGTATATGATATGGAATATGCGAGAATATAAATTTTACTGTTATTATAACTTTTCGTAAAGTTAGTTAAGTAATTTAAAATATAGGATGAAAGACGTGAAATATCTCGATCAATTAGAAATGAATTTTCGCATGTAAAGTTTTTAAATCAGATCGTGATAATTAACAAAAAAAAAAAAACATTTATTAAATAAGCCACCTATGATTTTTTCATTTAATATTCTTTTGCAGAGATGCGGCAAATTTTTTTTAGACATCACGTAAGGAGGTCGTAAATGTCATTTTTAGTAAATTCGAAATTTCGAAGCTCCTTATTTCGGTCTAACTTAATTTGTCCTTAATGTAATTCACCGCGAGTAGTTGATTCGAAATCAGTGCAGCGTGCTATTTCGTTCGCTCGTATTGTAAAAGAAATTTGAACTGTACGCGAGATCAGATTTGTCGGATATTTGATCGTACAAGTGCCTCCTCTCTCCGTTCTTTCATCCTATCGACGGTCTCGCTATCCCTTCTCAACCTTTTGAACGAGCTCTCATAAGAAGTTCGGCAATTTGTAAGCTGACGTCGTCCGCGGAGAGATCAAGGATGTACGCACGTGCTATATAGCTCTACATGCGTCTTCACATATATATACATGAATCATGCATGTATGCATAACACATAATATACCATGTACGTATACACGCCGCATAAATAGCTATCTCGCGGATGTAGGAAGAGGGATCATTCTCAACGGGACAGCGACGCGAGAATGAGAAGTCTCTCGAAAGTGTCCATCAAATTCTCGTTTCGCATCTACGTCTCTATAATTCAGCGGAAGCCGCATCGTGTCACAGTAGTAATTATTTCTTTATCAAAATTTTTAACACGCTCGCGCGTATGCGCGTGGCGAATTTTTTTGCACAACCATATAATACGCGCTTTAAAATTTCGGTGAGTTTAAATTTACATCGCGACGTGTACTGCCGAATTGACGGTAGCGCGCAGCGCAGAGAAAGCAATTTGCGATTGATTCGACTGGCATTGTCAAAGGGTAGCCATACGAATCCGCGCGCCGATGCGCTTTTATCGTGCTCGAAAGCAGATAAACGAAAAACAAATAAAGCAAAACGATCTTGTGTTAATCGACGCTGTCCAGTTCGCGGATTTGCACGGCCGCTATTTCCATGTTGGCCTCTCCCATTCACTCAAGCGTACACATATCCTACATTTTTACCGGCACGTTCTAAAATTCCATTGCCGTGTACTCATACCGGCATAAAGTGTTGAGTGTTAACATTATTATACAGAGCACTCCAGATATTTTCTCTTCCTGTTGTATTTTTCAATGTTTTTTTTATTAACACTAATATTAAAACTGGACTTTTGGTTGCAAAAAATATGTCATACAGATTGCAGCGAATATTCTTTACATTTTTAGTTTATAATAGGCGGAATACGAAAAATAGGCGGAATAGAAATATGTGATAAAAATGTATTGAAATTGTTCTATTAATTTTAACATTCGAGTTAAATTATAGACAAATCTGTTTCTATTCGTGTGCGTACATGTAAGGGTAAACTACATATTTGTTTATATCGGAAAGTTTATACGGGATAATTGAATTTTGTTTTTATTAGATCAATATTGTGTGTTTTTAGCACGCGCAGTTTCGCCAATGCGAGTGAATACGGAGTTTCAGCAGTGTATGTGTTGGTATCATGATATTCATGTATATATGCGTGAGTAGTATAATATCTACTTATACTATGTGCTTTTTACGATTAGGCGCGAAGTGTTCGACCGTTGCGATTTCATTCACACAGACACGGATGTATACACGCGCATGCTTCCATTCTGCTTCCTTCGTTTGTAGTAATCCCAGATGAACGCTGTTGGCGCTTCAGCTGTGAAATCTTCAACGACGCAGCATGCGTCGAAAAAGAACAGCGAGTCGATATTAAAAATAAAAGGAGGGCACGATTGTTCTTAGAATGTATAGTATCTTTTTATATTCTTTTTTATAAACTATTTTAGAATAATTAAAATATAAACTAATTTAGAATATGGAAAAGCGCACCGTGCAGACGCAATTAACTTGCACCGCAGTCTATTGAGCTTTTTATACTAGATTTTCCTGAGGCAACAGAATTTCTATTAGAAGCTTTAATCGTTAAAATGTGCAAGTTAAAAAAGATCGTCGTGAGTCTTCTGACATTTTTGTTAAAGAAAAAATTGACTTAAAATTTGCCAAAATATTTATCTGAAAACTTGCACACACACACACACAATAAACTTTTATTATTAAATATAATATTAAATATAATAACCTTATTACTATGAGCGGCAAAAACAAAATGTAGAATGCAGAAATTGCGACCGAATAATTATTTACGCACGAAACCATTGACGATAAATATTACGAAGTTAGATCTCTCTGAAGGGAAATACTTATGAATGAAATTACGAGAGCGCGGCTCTGTCTCGCAGCTGACGGTTTAAGAAGAACCACCGCCGGATATGAGCTGCCATAGCTCGAGGGCTGTGGGATGCAAGAATGTCACGTGGCAAGCATTTTGCTCGTCCATCCGTGCATTGCGCCATCAACTTTGGCCATAAAGCGTCGCCTGTTCGCGAAGTTGGTCGCTCCGTCTTTGGACACGAATTCTCCCTTCGAACTCTTGACATACATATATCTACCCCACGACCGCGCATCGACGTGTCGTCCCTCTGGCCGAACCTATCTTTCGACCTTGTCTAGATTGAATCGGGGATGTTGCCGGCGCGGAACGTGAATTGCATGTTTGATAGAAAAAGAGAAAAGAGAAACGTATATGTGGTTCGCTCGAGCCTGCTGTCGAAACTGTGAACTTTGATAAGGCGCGCACATCGTATTTGCTTTGATGATAGTGCATCTGCTTCATTACTCAGCATTACATATAATGATGCAACGAGTTATACATGCAAGCAATGATCGTGCTGAAATGATTATGGGGATTGATAATCAGAAATTTACATGTGGCGTATACTAGAATTATTAATTCATCTTTAAACTACATATTTTTTATCAATTAAGTACAAAATTATATATTGCTCTTTAATGTTTAATTTATACAAAGTATTTGTCCTAAATTTTTAATTTTTTTAATTATCGGCTTTCAAGTAACTGCAAAGTATTATGATTCGGTTTAAATGGATATTTTGCTTTGATAAAAATTAAAATACATAGAAATATAATAGATACGATAGAGCTTAGAGATAAAATTTCAAGTATACTCGACTCAAAATATCTCAAAGATTCTGTGGGTAAATGATGATTTGACAAATCTGTAACACTCTACAACGTTATTGCAAAAATTCGTGCATAACGAGTCGCGGGGGCGTAGCCCAGTGTAATTCCACTTTCAGTGCATCGATAACAACCTCCGCATGTGCAATAAAGTAGGCATTCTTGATGAGTCAGCTCATATGCGTTGCAGCGTAAAACTGTTATTACGCGGAGGCTATTTCTGGACGCATCAAATCTGCCAGATCGTTAAAACGTTGTATTTAACTGGCTTAAGAAGTATTCCATCCGCCCGTCCGTCCATCCGTCATAGTGGTGGATTTGCGAAGAGTGACCGGTCCGCCGTTGAGAAGCTATACGCCATGGCGAAACACGCAATTACGAACGTGTAACGCTGAATTACCCACATGCTTTTGGCGTGGCTGCAATTATGTGGACGCAGGCGAGCATGATTTCACTCGAATCACGAGCCGGTGAACGATAACGAATCCGATTTTAGTCGCTGCGATTTTCCAACGAAGCTGATACGCGCTTAATCGCGAGTCCGATTGCTTTCTTAATGCATTCGCATTTATCACAAATTAATGTCTACTCGATTATCCGGATAACGCGTAACATCACGCTCTTCGTGGTATTGAGCGGTGTCGTTTTTGCTCGTCACGTCATTTTTGCTCGTTCCGTTTTTTATCGCGCGCACAAAGGCGTAATGTTAATGTTGTGTAACATGGAAAATGGACGTAATGAGCAATAAATCAATAGCACAGAAATTAAAATACAGTAAAATTTCCATATTTTTTCTCTTAATTTTCTCTTTTTTTCTTCACTTCTTCTTGCAATAGAAGAAAACAAACAAAATATAATTACGCTATTTAATTTGTAAACGTTAAATATTTTTCACATGTTTACGATTTATGATTATTTCTAACATTTATATATAAGAATCGAATTCTTATTAAGCAAATATTTTACAAAGTTTTTGTATGTATATATAACTCATAATAAGTAAAATATATGTTATTTCTTTCAGGTACAATTGAGGACGTGCTTAACTGGGGTGCAACGACCGGTGAGTGTGTGAATTTATTCATTATGCATGCAGAATTACATAAAGCAATGATATCGTCAGTCTTTATTTGCCAATATTTTATAATTGCTAAAAATTGCGTTTTCGTATTTTTTTAAACTGCTAAAGTTTAACTGTAATTCCACGCTCGCGTAAAAATATCTGCTCGTATTTCTGTAAAATTATCGGCGTCGTTTCTTCAAAAGTGCTTGAGAGCTTTGCAAACCATCGAATGTTGCATCGGGTGTACTTGCATTTTATGCCTCCTACGGTTATGCAAGCATATCATTTACCGCGAGATACGCGTATATACCCGCGATGTTCTAGACCCTTTGCATACGTGTGCATACACCGGCATGCATGCAGGTACATACGGGCAACCTGTTGCGGCGCAATTTTTACGGAAGTTTCCGCCTCGTCTACCAAAACTGACACCTACTGTAAATCACTCCCTCACGAAGGTCCATGCATCTCCGAATCGATCACCGATTTATGACGCGAAACGTTACGGCGGCCACAGTTTTATTTTCATCTTTATGGCACTTCTGAAATATTTGCGCGTTGATCATAATTCTAATCACTAAAAGAGTTTTCACTCGTAAAAATGACGAGTGGAAAAAAACTAATTGCAAATAAGGAATAAATTATATTATGACTTTACAATCGTCGAGGTTTGTGCATTAAGTAGTGTTAGGAGGAACGGTTACACGTTAATAGCGTATGCGAGATGAGATCTGTGGAAGACACGAATGTATATTCCGCGAAGGGAGACGGTGAGATTCACACTTCGGATGATTGTGATAACTTACTTAGGCGAAATAATGGATTTGGTACCCTTCCGCGCGGGAGATCGCTCCTTTAATTCAACGGTAACAGCATGGGGAGGGAACAGGGTTTCCTTCTCGACGAACCGGATTTAAGGCCTTGAATAAGAACGAACGAATTAACACTCGGAGGCTTTTAATTATGGACGTGAAGCCAGAATCGGAGATTGGCGCGAGCTAATCTCTCTCCCTCGCGAGGCGGTGCGCCGAATGGCGCCGATTACCGCATTCCGTCTTTCGCGCTTATATATTTGACGGTCGGCTTGAAACGAGCATCGCCGGGATATCCGAGTAGGCGAGGGAGATCAAAGTCGCAGCCGCGGCCGGTGTCTTAATAATAGGAAATAGGTCGCGTGCTCCACGTGCCGCGTTTCCACTGGCGGCAGAAAAGCCAGGAAGTGTCACTCAAGCGCGCCGCGTCGGGTCGCGTCACTCCAGAATTCTCGATGTGACAGGCGCGCGCGCGCTCGCTCGCTCGCGCGCGAGATACCCCTCCCGGAAATGCATCTCTTTCTCCCGACCGCGCGCTGGATCCATTACGAGGATGAACAGATCTTTTTCCAGTGCCGATATTCTTAGGTTACTCGCGGGGGCGGGATCAGCGGATGGCAATCGATCTTGTCTTCTCGGATGTCACGATAAAGCACCTAATGTCACGCTGCATTTCGGAACATTCGACGGAGATCGGGTATCGATTCCCGCTTCGCGTCGACGATGTCGCGAGCGCAAAGGGGGGAAATTACGGCGAACGCTATAACTTGTTAACTTTTTCTTACGAATTGCGAATTTTGCACCGGAACGGGTTTTGCGCTGTAAAATTTGGATCCTGTTGTGAGCTACGCGAGGCTTATATTACACGATTGCACGATACGTATTACTGGCGCAGCGAAGGCATGAAAGCATAAAGAGGCGTATGCAGTCATCGACAAATGGCGCATCGTCCCGATCGGTCGTGCGAACCAGCCGTGTATACTTGTGTGCGCGCGTACCGGAGATACGTACGCCGGTCGCGGGATAAAATCCTCAAGTGTCACGTTTTACTGCCGCGTCGCCTTTATGCCGGCTACCCTTTATACCTCGTGGGACGGAAAGAAGAAAGAAGGATACTATTTCACGAGTATTACGATCCGCCAGGCATCAGCCTCTGCGAATGGCCATTCCGTCCGTCGTCTCTGTCTTTCTGCTTCGCCGTTCTTTTCTTCTTCACCCCGCAATAACATCCCCGACTCTGCGCTTCGCTTCGGTTTCTCCTTCGCGAGACGCGAAGCGTCTTTTGCAAATTCCCGAGCGCGTAGCCGAGCGCAACGTAACGGGATCGCCGGTCTCTCCTCTTCATCCACTTTGCGCGCGATAGACATTTTACGGGTTGTCAAGCCCGATGACTCTCGCCGTAACTCGTTTATCACGCATTCGCGGACACGACGAATTGTTATCGGTTGCTGTCGATATTTGCGGCGGTCGGCCATCACGCGAAAGTATGAGCGTTATAGCGATCGCTAGTCGGCATTTTTCTGCGTCAGCATAATCCCTTCAACACATAGGGCAAGGGGGCGAGGGACAGCCTCGGCGGCGGCTCCGTGGGTCCGGGCGTGATCTCCGGCCGAGCGGGATCGACGCGATCGATCAAGTCGGCAACCAGTTCCGAGCCGGCAACGTTTGGTTACCTTGTTGCGGGCATATTCCGCTTAATTAGTCCGTCTCGCGAGATGAAGAGCCCCGATTAAAACCTGCCAGCCGATTTGTTGCTCCTGCCCGCGTTCGTTGCGGACCCTTTTCTGAATACAACCTGCCACCGACCGACCGACCCCAGATACGATGCGGGACGCACTCCTCACGTCTCGTCGTGACGTGGGGTCTAACTTTAGATGCGTCGCGTCGCTACAGTCCGTTGTTTCTCTCTCTCTCTC